TTGCCACCAGTCCCTGAGGTCCTCTCGCGGGCAAGTGGTGTTCCCTCCAGCGGCGTCGGCCCCCATGCGCACATGTCCGACGACAGCGCGCTGACGTCTCAGATAGCGAGCCTTCAGGATCTCGTCCGACAGGGCACCATTCACATTGAAGAGCTTGAATCGCTCAGGAGCCATATGGCCGTCTCTGGTACGAACTTCGACCGCATGCACGACGAGTTCGCTAGGATGGCAGTTCGTCAGGAGAGCTTTTCGCGGAGATCAAGCGTGCCCAGGACTTGGCTGTCCACCAGGTAGTGACCGAGACAGATGCTAAGGTCGCGTCCGTGTCTGGAGACATCCAAGCTCGGTCGAATGACTTGAGGTCTTTAGTTGCGTCGGGGCCATCGTATGGTACCGACCCGGTGTTCGAGATCGTGGGAGGTGGGAAAGGAGGTGGTCGTCGGATGATTCTGAGGACGTCAGGATTTGACCGTGCCAGTACTACTCGTCTCATCGTGCCTTGCTGTGGGGAACCTCTCCTGGTGGCCTCGTTGATGGATGCTGTCCGACCCATCATTGCGCAGTGCAGCCCCATGGAAGAAGAGCCTATCGTGCGAGCGCGCGCTCAGATTACGACGGCGGTTCTAGATGTCCCATCCATCGTTGCGTGCTCCGCTTGCTCCGGAAGAGCCGAGGCATCGGGGAGACAATCAGCCAAAATCTATTGACGGTCTCGGTTGGGATCTTCGCGTGCGTCGTGACCTCCCCCCAGACAGTCGTAAGCTCTTCTGCTACCTCGGTCAGACCAGAACTATCGTCGGCAAAGTGCTTGGTGAGTTCCAGGGTGGGAGCAACTGATTCGGAGGGCAGGTCTACGGTCTCCTCACCCCTGTGCCCCAGTCGCGGTGGCGAAAATCACGTTCTGTGAGTTTTGTGTGCTGGGTCTCCTGCTTGATCTTGTCTCAATGATTTTCAACAAAAGGGCCCATGCGAGCTGCGTCCAGACGCTCTTTGACCAAATTCGCTCCATGGTGTGAACGGCCCGGTTGCCCAGGAGTTTCCACCCCCGGGACCTCGGGCTCTCCGTCTGGTATGTTTTTGCGCTGGGCGGAGGTCTGTTTGGGGTGGGCCCTGGGGCCCGCGCGCCCCTAGTTTGCTAGAGTTGGTCTCAGCCAGCCAGCCTTAGTTTTATCTTGAATATGGGAGGTGGGTTCGCACCTGGGCACCCTGCTTCTGGAGCGAAGGGGGCTTTCTCCCCGAGCTCTCCCCTCTCTGTCTGCGCCTGAGACGCCCACGCCACTTTCTCTTCCCAAGCTGCATATTTGCCACTTGCGGGCCCGCGATGCGCGCGGATGCTCCAACTTGTCGGTGAGTTTGTTGCGCCCTTGCAGGAGGCTCACGGCGCGCGCAGATTGCGAAATTCTGGGGCGCGATGATCGATGTCGGAGCGCAATTGTACATGGCGCGGTGCCATGACTGAGCCGTCTGCTGGCGGAGGAGTGGTCGCGGCGTTGCCCAGTGAAGCTCGTGGCGCGGTTTGGCTCTTGCACGCCGCGTGCGGTCGCGCTCGGGCGGATGTTTGCATCGCGCTTGAAGGGGGGGGGGTCCAGTGATTCTCAGCGCGCACGGGCCCGCCGCGTCAGGCCCTGGCGGGGTGCGTCGCAGGCGCCCCGGGCTGACTCAGGTCGCCCCCCCCCCCCCCGGGCGGTTCATGCGACGTGCGAGATTGCAGGGTACATGATTTTCATGGAGGCCGAGGAGGCAGTTTTAGGATTGACGACGGGACTGGGTTAGTTGGAGATCGCTAGCAGAGGGGCGGTTTCGCATCGAAACGCGGGTCTTGGGCTGAGTCGCACCAACCTGGCCCCGCGCGAAGGGGTGTCCTTGCTGACGCGGTGCGCGGGGGGGCTCGTCTGGATCGCATATGCCCTTTCTTCATCTGCTCTTGCGCTGAAAGATTTTGGTTGCACCCAGTGCAGTTGGGAATGCAGTTATGGCCTGGGCGCCCTCTGACCGCGCCCCCGTCGCAGCCATTATCTCGACCAGGGCCCCCGTGGCCTCGTCCGCCCAGATCCCCGAATGGATCTCTCAGCATTAGCTGTATCTCGGGTTCCGTTGCAGCGCGATCCTGGAGATCGACCCCCTGCTTTTTCCGAGAGACAAACTTGCTCGCTTCCGGGAGATATTCCGGCAGATGGCGCCGCTGTTTCAGTCTCGTTTGCGTCTTCGGCCCTCGAGGTCCCAAAGTGAACGGTTGCGCGTCGCATTGATGGCGCGCTGGACACGGCGCTCAGGCACCTTCTCGCTGCGGTCACGGCCACGAGGGCTTACCCCCCAGAAGCTTCGGCATATTGACCCTGAGTGGGAACGTTGCTCGGATGTCGCCAGTTCGGGGGCTCTGGTGCAGGCGTCGAAGAACCCCTGGCACGAGGCAGAGGGGCGGGCGCTGGGCGGGGGGGGGGCATGGCGAAGGGCAAGAAGATGGCGTGGATCCAACGCCTGCAACGGGCATGGGGCAGGGCGCGTAAGCGGCATGGGCTTTCGGGGATCCTGGGCGCCGGCGGCTGCGCCCACCCGCCCCCCGATGCGTCGGCTGCAGCTCGGAAGACCAAATGGGGGCAAGTTTTCGCCCACCAGGATCCATGACGTTCTCGCTGGCCAGAGATCTTGGAGCGCGCGCATCCCGTGCAGCTCAGGCCTGCGTCTCGGCGCTTGGACACGGTTTCCTTTGTGGGGCGGGTTCGTCATAAACGCCACCTCGACCCCCGGGGGTGGGCGAGGACCTTTGTGGGCGTTGGAAGGCGGGGGGAGTTGTCGATGTTATCATTGAGTAGTTTTCTGAGATGCGCAATGCCTCTAGAGGGGCGGCTTCTGCGAACGCGAGGAGGGGCTGCATGCGCTTCCCGTTGAATGATTTGACGGGCGACGAGAACCCCGCTGAGCTTGTTTGCGCCCTGAGCAAGGCCCGCCCCATTGACCCGGGCGAACGCGGACACGAAGACATGGAGCGACGCTTTCTCGATCGGCTTGCAAAGGGCTTCGCGGGCGACGGCCGGCCCGGCCCAGCGCGGGGGGGTTCCTGGGGCGGGGTTTCGGACGACGTCGCTGAGATCGACTGGCGGGGGCTCCGCCAGATGATGGCCGCACGGGGCCGCCCTGGGACCTCTTCGCAGACTTCAAGGCAGCTTTCTACTCAGTGGTCGCGGCGTGGTTCTTGGCAGCAGCTCGCTGATCATTTGCTGCGGAAGAACAGTTTTGTGTGGGTCATTGGTTTGGTTCATGCGGTTCTGCATATCGGGTGCTGGCCGGTACTTCATCGAATAGTCGGGGCGGCGCGATCCCGACATCATGGATGGCAGATCGCGGGGCCCGACGAGGGCCCCCGCGGACGATCCGACTCTCGCGCCCCCGCTGCGCGTCGATTAAGGCACTCGAGTGCAGTTGTGCCCTGCGACGGAGCAGCTGCGGAAATTATATAACGCGGCGTCGCGGTTGACTACGGCCGGCCTTTGCCATGCCCTCTCTCGGGAGATGTTGATAGGACTTCGCGCGTAAGGAGCTTCCCTGGAGGTTTGGGGCGCCGATTGTTTCTTGGCGGCCAAGTTTCGGGCCCTGATGTCGTGCTCTAGTTTAGATATTCAGTATGAGAAGTCGTGAACGGTTCCTTTGTAAGACGACGAGTTTACCCCCGCGCGGACCAGCTGGGCCTTGCGGAGATGATCTTGGGCCAGGTCGGCGGAGGACGAAGTGCGGGGCTTCGCTGGCCCAACTCTCGCACCCACCCCCAGGAAGCAGCTTCAGAAAAAAAACCGTGAAGCGGTTGGGGGCTCTCCGTGCATGCGTTGTTCCTCTCCGCGCCCTGGCCCATAGGGTGTCCAAGTGGGCGGGGCCCGACCGCTTCCCGGTCGCCGACTTCCAGGTGCTGGCCAGGAGGATGCGACAAGTAGAGGAAGACAGCGCGATGCGCTTTGTGACAGGCGTCCTCAAGGTCATGTGTCGAGGGGCTTGCCCGTCGAGCCGTCTTTGCACGACTCTTCTAGGTTGCGCCTTTGGTTGCGCGGAGGAGACTGCTGATGACGACCCTCGGCATTATCGCGTGTCCCCGAACGTCAAACGCTGCTGCGTCGGCATCTCCCCGCGGTGGACGTCTGGCATCGTGGAAGGAACAGTTGGTGGGTGATGACTGGCTTTTAGCGCTCTTTTGTCTTGGTCCACAGTGGGGGAGGTTTCGCGATCTTGTGGGGCGTGCTCAGATAGACGGATGTCTGCCGGCCCGCAACGCCCGTCAGACGGGCCCCCAGGTCCCCGGGGATTTCCTGGTCAAGGTGCGGTCGAGGCAACTGGCTGGCAGCGCTTCGGTCGCTCCGTCTTGTGGCCGCTGCTCGACGCGCCCCCTTCCCTCCCCCCCCCCCCTGCCTGCGCCTCCTGCTCCCCCCCTCTCCCCCCCAGGGTGGGACAATGGAAGCCGCCCGCCATCTGTGTTTCCCGCGTGTTCCCGTGGCCCCCTAGTTCCCCTCCCCCGAGTCCCTTGCTCCTGCGCGTCGTCGACAGCGTTCGCGACCCTTGTGGGTCTTTTCAGGTTGGCTGACTGGTTGTCAGAGGTTTGTTTCGCCTCCGCAAGCTGGCATGTTTTGGTGCTGGACGTTGTGTTTTGGCTAATTCAGGGTCAGCCATGGCCCCCCAGGCTCGGTGGAGTGTTTTGTGGACACAGACCTTTGCCTGCCTTCCTTTCCTTTCCTTTCCTTTCCTTTCCTTTCCTTTCTTTTCCTTTTCTTTTTGGCTGCCTGTTCTCCGTCGTCCCGCAGTCGGCTCGCCCCGTCGCCGCCGTCGGTTTCGAGTCCCTCCTCGTCCTCGGCGTGCTGCTCTCCGCGGTTCCCTGGGTCTGCTCCTCCTGCTGCTCCCTCCCTCTCGCTTGTTGTCGCCCTCTGTCTCTCCTCTTCCTGCTCCCTGCTGTTTGCTGTTCGCCCTTCTTGTGTCGTTGATTGTGCTATGTCTGCTGCTTCGCGGCCGGCGGGCAGAACGGGGCGCGGCTCCGCGCGCCGCCCCGCCAGCCGCCCCCTGCCGCGCAGAGCCTGGCGGGCGGCTCCCCAACCGAGCCCCCTTCGGCGGTCGGTCTTTCTGCTTGGGGAGCAGAGCGTGGTTTCTGGCTGGCCGGCTGCCTCGCGCTGCTAAGAATCAGCACGCGTGCTCGCAAGCGGCACGCTGTGCCTAGAGCGCTCTGCTCCCGAGGGTCTCTGAGCCCCCTTTCTCCCCGCGCCAGGTCCCCGACGACATCCGAAGCTCCTGCGGCGCCCTGCTGCCGTCGTCTGCCCTCGCCCTGCCTCCCCGCGCCAGGTTCCCGACGTTGTTCGAGGCGCTTGTGTGCCTAGGCCTTCCTCCGTTTGTTGTGTCCTCGTTCTTGTGGGGGATGCCCCGTTTTGTGCCTCTGCCTTGCTGCTGCGGTTGGGTTGGGCCTGTCGTTCGGTGGGGAGTGATGGTGGTTCAGACTCGGACAGGGGTGGCGATTCGCTCTAATCGCGATGGTCCTATTTTGATGGGAACACGCTCCCCGAAGGACAGCGGACTCCTCTTGCAGAGTACCCGCCGCTTTTCATCTTTGCTTCTCTTGCTTCTCTTTGTTTCGCCTCCTCCCCTCCTCCCGCGCATGGTTTTGCCAGCGATTGGACCTCTGACATGATTGAAGGATGCCTGTGCGTCAGCGTTGCGGTACAATCCTCCTCTTCCTCATCCTTTTCCTCCTCTTGCTCCTCTATATCCTCCTATTCCTCTTCCTCCTCTCCTTCGCTTTCTTCCCCCATACCTGCTGCATCCATGCCGTCCCCTGGGAGGTTGCCAACTGCGTAACTGTCGCCACTGTCGTGGACTCCGTGGAGGTCCAGCGGTGGCGGGAGGCAGGCTTGACCTCCCGGTTCCCCGAAAATCTGCTGGTTGCCTAGGGTCGCCGCTTTCGTGGGCGGTGGAAATTCTAGCCGAGGCGGCTGGCAGGCGAGACCGCGCGGACCTTGGGCGGCTGCCACCTGCGCAGCTGTCGCCACCTGCGTGGGCCCCTGTGAGTCGCAGCGGAGGCGGCAGGCAGGCGAGACCTCGCGTTTCCCCAGGGGGGGGGGGGGGCATCTACGCATGTGTTGCTACATTCGTGGGTTCCTGGGAATGTCACCGGGGGCGGCAAGTAGGCGAGACCTCGTGGTTCCATGGGATATTGCCAATTGCGCAGCTGTCGCCAAATTCGCTGGTTTTTGTGACGTGCGGCGGAGTCGGTAGGCAAACGAGAATTCGCTGCTGCTTTCTGGGAGATTGTCAACAGTGCATTTGCCGCCACATTCGTGGTTCCTGGGAGGTTCAGCGGGGGCGGCCGGTGGGCGAGACCTCGTGGCCCCATGGGAGATTGCCAGTTGCGCAGCTGTCGCCACATTCGTGGGCTCCTGGGCGGAACAGCGGAGTCGGTAAGCAGTCGAGACCTCGCGGTTCCCTGGGAGGCTGCCCGCTGCGCAAGTTGCCGCTTGCGTGGTTTTTTTTGAGGTGCACGGGGGGCTGTAGTGACGCGAGATTTCGCGGCTCCTTGGGAGGTTGCCAAATGCGCAACTACCGCCAATTCGCGGTTTCCCACGAGGTGCAGCGGACGCGGTAGGCAGGCGAGACCTCGTGGCTCCTTGGGAAGCTGCCACCTGAGCAGCTGTCGCCAGTTCAGTGGGCTCCTGGGAGGTGCAGCGGAGGTGGTAGGCAGACTAGACCTCGCGGCTCCCCGAGAGACTTCGCTGCTTTCCGGGAGGTCGCCAACTGCGCAACTGTCGCCACCTTCGTGGGCTCGTGTCAGGTGCAGCGGACTCCGTAGGCAGGCGAGACTTCGCGACGTGCTGGGAGGCTGCCCGTTGCGCAATTGTTGCCATTTGCGTGGGCTTCTTTGAGGTGCAAGGGAGGCCGTAGTGACGCGAGACTTCGCGGCTCCCTGGGAGGTTGCCAAATGCGCAACTACCGCCAATTCGCGGTTTCCGAGGACGTGCAGCGGACATGGTAGGCAGGCGAGACTTCGTGGCTCCATGGGAGATTGCCAGTTGCGCAGCTGTCGCCACATTCGTGGGCTCCTGGGAGGAACAGCGGGGTCGGTAAGCAGTCGAGACCTCGCTCGCGGCTCCCTGGGAGGCTGCCTGTTGCGCAGCTGTAGCCACTTTCGTGGGCTTCTGGCGTGTCAGACGTTCGTTGACGAAGTCTTCAAGAGGACCACATGTATATCTATGTTTTTTTAGAAGAGCTGTCATTGTTATAGTCGCCTGATGTGCAGAAAGGGTTGGGTACGTCCCTGGGCATCGTTTCAGTCCCGGGGGGGGTTGAAACGAGCCTCCATAGGTGAAGAACTTGGAAGACTCAGTTGTCTTGATTTCTCCGTGGCGAATGAGGCCTGCAGACGAGCTCAGCGTAGCCGCAGCGCCATCCACAGCAGCAGCATCGGCACTGGGAAGCATGTCACGTAGCTTGGGCTGGCCCTGCAGTTTTTCCAGCCCTGGTCAGACTGTTCAGTTTTTCAAGCCCAGATAAATCTGTCTATTTTGTGTCTGGCCCTTGCATGTCTTTGCATTGGACTTTCAGGCTTTCACGTTTCGCAAAGTAATTGTGGAGCACGCGCTGATGGCAGTGGCTTCTCTGTAGTTTCACGTGGATTTCTCTGTAGTTGTGGCAGCGGTGGTAGTTCCAGCCATTTCGTGGTGGTAGCAGCGCCTGTTGTGCGGCCGTGCCACAGCGAAGAAAAATTGCCAACAGGATGGTTCTGAAGTTGGTCATGGCCTGTCCGTGCTCGATATTGTGAAGCACGCGCTGAAGGCATCAGCTTTTTGCTTGGTTCCGTCAAGCCTTACATGCAATCCAGGTGCACGACATCTTCCGATGTCTGTTGTGTATGTGATGTATGTGTATCTAAGCGCGCAGCATTTCGCATATCATAAGTGTGTTGGTTCATTGTTTACACGATATTACCTATACGACCACCCTGCGGGCAATAAGGAGGTTGCGGAGAGGAATTCAACTTTCGGTGTGCGATTGGGGTTGGATCGGATTCGGCGGAAACCAGTTGGGCACCGCGGAGCACCACCGATGGTGTCCCGATGGCGTCCTTGATAACCGTAGGGACTTACCGAGGCAAAAAGCTGAAACAGTTGGCACTTGTTTACCCACGCCCTCTTCCTTTTAGAGCGTACTATGCGCACACAGGGCAATTTGCTTTTCCATATTCTTGAGAAAGGGCGCGTTCTGTGAGCGCTTGGATTGGAGGGGGGGGGTCGGAACCGAGCCCCCCCCCGGAATGAAAGGGTGGGGGGGGTTCGAACCACCCCTCCGTCAAGGGGGGAGGGGTCGAACCCCCCACCCCTGGGCCAGCGCCGGCGCCGGCGGCGGCCGGCGGCGGCGGCGGGGAGCGGCGACGAGGACGACGACGACGAGAGCGACGACGACAACGGCGACGACGACGACGACGATGACGGCGGCGACGAAGGCGACGACGACGGCGACGACGACGACAAGCGGCGACGACGACGACGAGCACGACATCGACGACGACAACGATGGCGACGACGACCACGGCGACGACGGCAACGACGACGTCGGCGACGACGACAAGCGCGAGGATGACGACGGCGACGACGACGACGGCGGCGACGGCGATTACGATGACGACGGCGACGGTGACGACGACGACGACGACGACGACGACGACGAACACGACGACGACGACGACGACGACGAGCAGGACGACGACAACGGTGACGACGAAAACGAAGATGACGACGGCGACGACGGCGACGACGACGACGATGACGACGACGGCGACGACGACGGCGACGACGACGACGACGATTGCGGCGACGGCGACGACGACGGCGAAGTCGGCGACGGCGACAACGCCGACGACGACGGCGTCGACAACGGCGACGACGACGATGACGACAACGGCGACGGCGACGACGACGACGACGACGGCCACGACGACGACGAAGACGAGGACGGCGGCGACGGCGACGATGGCTACGACGATGACGACGACGACAACGGCGACGACGACGACGACGACGGCGACGACGGCGACGGCGACGACGACGGCGACGACGACGACGGCGACAACGCCGACGACGAGCACGATGACGACGACGGCGACGACGATGACGGCGTCGACGACGATGACGACGACGGCGACGACGACGACGACGGCGACAACGGCGACGACGATTACGACGACGACAGCGGCGACGACGACGACGACGGCGACAACGACGACGACGACGAGAACGATGACGACGACGGCGACGACGACGACGGCGTCAACTACGGCGACGACGACGACGACGAGCACGATGACGACGACGGCGACGACGACGACGGCGTCAACAACGGCGACGACGACGAGCACGATGACGACAACGGCGACGACGACAAGCACGAGGACGAGGACGGCGACTGCGACGACGACGCCTTCGACGACGACGACGACGACGGCGACGACGGCGACGACGACGGCATCTGCGACGACGACGACGACGACGACCGCGACGACGACGACGACGGTGACTACGACGACAACGACGGCGACGGTGACGACGACGACGAACACGACATCGACGACGACGAGCAGGGCGACGACGGTGGCCACGACGACGACGAAGACGAGGACGGCGAACACGGCGACGACGGCGACGACGATGACGACGACGACAACGGCGACGACGACGACGACGACGGCGACGACGACGACGGCGACGAAGACGGCGACGACGACGACAACGACATCGACGACGAGCACGATGACGACGACGGCGATGACGACGACGAAGACGACGGTTGCGGCGACGCCGACGACGTCGGTGACGACGGCGATGACGACGACGACGACGGCAGCGACGACAACAACGACAACGATGACGACGAGCATGGCGACGTCGACGGCAACGACGACGACGGCGACGACGACGACGACGACGGCGACGATGCCGGCGTGGACGGCGGCGGCGACGACGACGACGACGGCGACGACGACGACAATGACGACGTCGACGACGACGACGATGGTCACGACGACGACGGTGACGACGACGACGACGACGTCGACAACGGCGACGACGGCGACGACGAAGACGGCCACGACGACGACGGCGGCGACCACGGCCACGACGGCGACGACGATGATGACGACGACGGCGACGACGGCGACGACGACGGCGACGGCGACGACGGCGACGACGACGACGGCGACCACGGCGACGACCACGACGACGACGTCGACAACAGCGACGACGACAACGACGGCGACGACGACGACCATGACGACAACGACGACGACGACGACGGGGACGACGACGACGACGACGACGACGACGACGACGACGACGACGACGTCAACGACGACGACGACGGCGACGACGACGATGACGATTAACACGGAGACGACGACAACGACGGCGACGATCACGGCTACGGCGACGACGGCCACGACGACGACCACGACGCCGGTGACGAAGACGACGCAGGCGACGGCGGCGCTGGCCCCAGGGGGGGGGTTCGAACCCACCACCCTCGCACGGGGGGCGGGGGGGGTTCGAACCCCCCCATCTTCGCGGGGGGGGGGGTTGGTCGGGGGGGGAGGGGAGTCCCCCTGGTTCTGTTTGATGGCGGCGCTGAATGTTGGGGGGGGCACCCCCCAGTTCAAACGCTCCGCCGAATGTTCCCAAGGCAAGCGCCCGTGAAACGCTCTCGCGCATTATTGAAGACGTACTATACGAAAGTGCAGGGCAATCTGTCGGCCCATCCATCTATCAATCGATCTCACTCTTTATCTACTTGTGGATCTTACTATCGATCTCTCCCAATCTATCGATCTCACTATCTCTCGATCTCACAGTCGACCTCACTATCAATATCACAATCGATTTTCGATCGATCTCACTATCGATCTCACAATCGACCTCACGGGACACCACGAGACACGACGGGACACCACGGGACACCACGGGACGCCACGGGACACCGCGCCACGGGACGCCACGGGACATAGCGCCACGGGACACCACGGGACACCACAGGACACCACGGGACACCGCGCCACGGGACACCGGCGGGACACCCGCGAGCCACCGCCCGCCAACCGGGGGGCGTAGAGGCATTGAGCTCAGTTTCGCCGTAGCCACGGTGGGTTCATTCGTTTCGCCCGCCCACGCAGCTTCGCTTCGCCCGCACGCACGTCACGAACACGAAAACGACATGGATTTCCCGTTGGGGGGGCCCCGTTCCACTTTGAACTCGCCCCCATCTTCCGATCGAAGACGTCTACGTTGAATCACCGCCGCCCCCTGCATTTTTGGAAGCGCCTCTGTGGCCGAACGTTGAGGCCAGAGCTTGGCCAAGCTATCGGGCCAGTTGTTCCCCGAATCGGTTTGGACAGCCTTCGGGGAACACGTGGGCATCTTGAAGGTCAATTTGGCCGCCTGGAGGCCATTTTGACTCTTTCGGGCCTTCTTGGAGGACGTCTTGGAGGGCTCTTGGGCTGTCTTGGAGGCCATCTTGGGCGTCTTAAAGGCCTCCTGTGCCGTCTTGGGGGGCTCTTGGGGCCGTCTTGGGCCTCTTGGGCGATCTTTGGGGGCACTTGGGCCGTCTCGGGCCGTCGGAAGGCCGAAAAAAAGCAAATGCCACAATCCTTCAAAACCCCATGGGAAATCAATGATTTTGGCCTTTTCGGGCCTTCCTGGAAGCCCTCTTGGAGGCCTCTTGGGCCGTCTTGGGCCGTCTTAGTGCCATCTTCGGCCGTCTTGGTGGGCTCCTGGTCCGTCTGACGCCGTCGGAAGCCATTAGGGGGGCCTCTATGGGCCGACTTGGGGCCCTCTTGGAATGCTCCAGGGCCGTCTTGGAGGCCATCTTGGGCGTATTAAAGGCCTCCTGTGCTGTCTTGGGGGCCTCTTGGGGCCGTCTTGGGGGCCTCTTGGGTCGTTCTGGGGCCATCTTGGAGGCCTCTTGGGCGATCTGTGGGCGGATCTTTGGGGGCTCTTTGGCAGTATCAAGCTGTTGGAATGACGAAACGAAGCAAATGCCACCATCCTTCGAAAACCTACGGACAATCAGTGTTTTTGGCATCTTCTGGCCTTCCTGGAGGCCCTCTTGGAGGCCTCTTGGGCCGTTTTGGGCCAGCTTCGAGCCAACTTCGGCTATCTTGGTGGGCTCCTAGCCCGTCTGACGCCGTCGGAAGCCGTTGGGGGGGCCTTTCTGGGCCGACTTGGGGCCCTCTTGGGGTGCTCCAGGGCCGTCTTAGAGGCCAGAGGCAATCTTGCAGGCCTCTTGGGCGCTGTGGGGGCGATCTTGGGGGCCTCTTGTGCCGTCTTGGGGGGCTCTCGGGGCCGTCTTGGGGCCCTCTTGGGCCGTTCTGGGGCCATGGCCTCTTGGGCGATCTGTCGGCGATCTTTCGAAGCTCTTGGGCCGTCTCGGGCCGTCGGAATGCCCAAACGAAGCCAATGTCAAAATCCGTCAAAAACCTGAGCAACATCAAGGTTTGTGGTATCTTCTGGCCTTCCTGGAGGCCCTCTTGGGGGCCTCTTGGGCCGTTTTAGGCCAGCTTCGAGCAAACTTCGGTCATCTTGGTGGAAACCTGGCAAGTGTGACGCCGTCGGGAGCCGTCTTGAGGGCCTTTCTGGGCCGACTTGGGGCCCCCTTGGGGCGCTGCGGGGCCGTCTTGGAGGCCATCTTGGGCGTCTCGGAGGCCATCTTGGGTGTGTTGGAGGCCTCTTGGGCCGTCTTGGGGCCCTCTTGGGGCCGTCTTGGACGCCACTTGGACCGTCATGGGGCCCTCTTGGGGGCCTCCTGGGCGATCTTGGGAGCCTCTTGGGCCGTCTTGGGCCGTCGGGAAGCCGAAGAGGCGCAAATGCCAGAATCCTTCAAACACCTAAGGAAAATCAAAGATGTTGGCCTCGTGGGGCCTTCCTGGGGGACCTCTTGGAGACCTCTTGGGCCGTCTTGGAGGCCTCTTGCGGGCCTTTTGGGCCGTCTTAGACCATCTTGAGGCCATCTTGGGCCGTCGTGAGTGCACCTTGGGGCCATATTAGCCATATTTGAGACCACCTTGCCAGTCTTGGAGACATCTTGGAGGCCATCCTGGGACATCTTCGCGGTCTTGGAGGCCATCTTGGGCCATCTTGGGGCAGCAAAGGCGACGATGGAGCAATTTTCGGTAATCTCCCGGGATCCCGGCGGGACGGGCCGAAGCCCCAGGGAAAGTTCTTTTGGAAAAAGAACCAAAACCAAAAGCCATATAATTCGGCACGCCAGGCACCCCTTTGATAAATCTAAAGGGGGCGGCGGATCGAAGACGCCTACGGCGAATCACCGCCGCCCCCTGCCTTTTTGGAAGCGCCTATGTGGCCGAACGTTGAGGCCAGACCTGCCAAGCTATCGGACCATGTGTTCCCCGAATCGGTTTGGAAAGCCTTCGGGGAACACGTGGGCATCTTGAAGGTCATCTTGGCCGCCTGGAGGCCATTTTGACTCTTTCGGGCCTTCTTGGAGGACGTCTTGGAGGGCTCGTGGGCCGTCTTGGAGGGCACCTTGAGCGTCTTGGAGGCCTCTTGGGCCGTTTTGGGGCCTCTTGGGGCCGTCTTGGGCGCCTATTGGGCCGTTCGGGGGCCATATTGGAGGCCTCTTGGGCGATCCTTGGGCGATCTTTGGCAGCTCTTGGGCAGTATCGGGCCGTCGGAAGGCCGAAACGAAGCCAATGTCAAAATCCTCCAAATATCTTCGGGAAATCACTCTTTTTTGCCTTTTCTGGCCTTCTGGAGGCCCTCTTGGAGGCCACTTGGGCCGTCTTGGGCCAGCTGCGAGCCACCTTCGGCCATCTTGGTGGGCTCCTGGCCCGTCTGACGCCGTCGGAAGCCGTTTCGGGGGCCTTTCTGGGCCGACTTGGGGCCATATTGGGGTGCTCCAGGGCTGTCTTAGAGGCAATCTTGGGCGTCTTCGAGGCCTCTTGGGCCGTCTTGGCGCCATCTTGGGGCCGTCTTGGGGGCCTCTTGGGCCGTCATGGGGCCCTCTTGGAGGCCTCTTGGGCGATCTTGGGGCGACGTTGGCGGCCTCTGGGGCCGTCACGGGCCGTCGGAAAGCCGAAAAGGCGCAAATGCCAAAATCCTCCAAAAACCTTAGGACATTCAAGGATTTTGGCCTCGTCGGGCCTTCCTGGAGGAACTCTTGGAGGCCTTTGGGGCCGTCTTGGAGGCCTCTGGGGGGCCTCTTGGGGCGCTGCGGGGCAGTCTTGGAGGCCACCTTGGACGTCTTGGAGGCCATCTTGGGCGTGTTGGAGGCCTCTTGGGCCGCCTTGGGGCCCTCTTGAGGCCGTCGTGGACACCACTTGGACCGTCATGGGGCCCTCTTGGGGGCCTCTTGGGCGATCTTGGGAGCCTCTTGGGCCGTCTTGGGCCGTCGGGACGCCGAAGAGGCGCAAATGCCAGAATCCTTCAAACACCTACGGAAAATCAAGGATTTTGGCCTCGTCGGGCCTTCCTGGAGGAACCCTTGGAGGCACGCAAGCGGGTGCTGTTCCAGCTGACTACGACAGTTGAGTAGCAACGCGCAGTTGCTGGTACTCCACCAAGTGTCTGTCGCTCGCTCACCGCAATTGATAATACACGGGGGCGCGGTCTGTAGAGCATTCCTCGCAGCAGACTGGCATGGTCTAGTAAGAGTGCGGTTAGTAGGGCGCCCCCCCTTTCACAGGTGCGTTCCCCATTTGCATATTATAGAATTTATCGCCGCGCTTTCCTGTGTATTTTGCGCATGAGGGACCAACGGGCCGGCTTCTGCACCAGACCCGAACGGTTCCAGTCTTGCCCATTGCATCCTTTCCTTGCTTGTCCTTGCCGCCGCCATCTACAGCTTGCAGTGCTCCTGTTCTCGCTATAGTACTTGCTGTAGGACTCGCATTACTTAGCTGTACATTCCAGTCACGGGAAGCATCCATTTCATTCCCACATCCATTTCTCCAGTTCTTCTCTCCACCCCTCCTCCTATTTCTCATGGTGTTCCCCCCTCCTCCTTCCCCTCCTTCTCCTTGTCACCACTGCTCTTCGCCCTGCTTCCACCCCGCCTGCTACTTGCCCTCCTTTTCCTACTCGTTGTCTTCCTCGTCGTCCTCCTCCTCCCTTTCCTCTCCAAGACTATCATTCACAACCTGGGCGACACCGACCGCCTGGCACTCGTGGCCTATTCCAACGACGCACAGATGCGGCCCCGTCCGCGGCAGTAGCAGCAGCGGGTCGTGCATCGGCGCGCGGGTGTGCCCAAGTTTTTGCTCGAGGGGCAGGGGGGGAGGAGGAGAGAGGAGAGAGGGGTGAGTAGTGCGGAGGAGACGGAGGAGACGGAGGAGACGGAGGAGACGGAGGAGGAGGAGGAGGAGGAGGAGGAGGAGGAGGAGGAGGAGGAGGAGGAGGAGGGAGGGGGAGGAGTAGGAGGAGGAGGAGGAGGAGGAGGAGGAGGAGGAGGAGTGGGAGGAGGAGGAGGAGGAGGAGGAGGGGGTGGATGAGGAGGAGGAGGAGGATGACGAGGACGAGGACGAGGCCGAGGATGAGGACGATGACGATGATGATGATGATGATGATGATGATGATGATGATGATGATGATGATGATGATGCTGATGATGTTGACGATGATGTTGACGATGATGTTGACGATGATGATGATGATGATGCTGATGATGATGATGATGATGCTGATGCTGATGCTGATGCTGATGCTGATGCTGATGATGATGCTGATGCTGATGCTGATGATGATGATGGTGATGGTGATGGTGATGATGGTGATGATGATGAGGATGAGGATGAGGATGACAATGATGCTGATGATGATGACGGTGAGGATGATGGTGATGATGTTGGGGTTGTGGATAAGGATGATGATGATAATGAGGAGGATGAGGGCGAGGAGCAGGGGGAGGGCAGACAAGTAAGGAATGTGGGGAGACGGATAGAAAGGAGGAGGAGGAGACGGATAGAAAGGAGAAGGAGGAGGTGGAGGAAGAGAAGGAACTTGGGAGTCAAGTTAGCTGGGTTGAGCGAGACAGGGGGCCCCGCCTACTTCCACCCTCACTCCCACAAGATGATAATCGCATGTGGCGCAACTTGATCTTGGGATTGGAAGGCGCTCCCACCTCGCAAAGGGAAGGCGCTCGCGCGCAGCCCCGCCTCCAACGACTTAGCGAAGAGAAAACTACGCTGGCCATGCAGGGGCGGGAGCGGCAAACTTCGAAGACGAATCGCGCACCGCGCGGACACATCATTGCCACCTTGACTCACAACCTGCGCGGCGCTTGGGAGAGGTCGGCATTTCGCCTGCTCACGCGCGGCCCTGCCGCCGCTGTCGCTTTCATGCGATTCGGCGAACGAGCCATGCGCCGCATCCGCTCTGGGACGCCACTTCCGAGCAGAATGCGCACGGAGCGTGGGCGAGGACTTGTCGCCCGGACCGCCCCCCCAAAAAGTGGCGAGTGAAGAATATGCGCCGCGTCGGGGTGGGAGCGCAGCTTTCAGGCAACATTTGCGTGGCGCAGAGGCGAGAACGACATTTTCGCCCGCTCGGGCGTGGACGACGCTGCGTGCGAAACCTGTGCGTCGCGCCCGAGCGGAAACTCAATATTCTAGGAACATGAGCGCGGCGCCGAGGCGAGAGCGACATTTTGGCCTTTCGCGCGGGATGTGCACCCTGTCCCACTCCTGCCACGCACTTTGCAGTATGAACGACAGAATGTCCATGTGGAGGCGAAGCGCTTTGCTTTTGTTTGTTTGCGGCCTGTAGGATTTGACCTCCTGGATCTGGTCGCTATCGGCCTGTCTTGTGGCAGAGTAGGAGTATATGACAATAATAAGGAGTAAAGGCGAATACATGATGCATCAACACTGCTGCAATACGCCCTCCTGTTTCAAGCCCCCCTCCTCGCACGTCCATACAAGTGAGCCTCTCCACTGCGGGAGGCGCCCCACATTGAATAACGAACGCCTGGTGGGCTTGTCAATCGGGCGAGGCCCCCTTTGGAGAGGATCCACCCTCCATTGTTCTAGCTAGGAGAACCGACAAGAGGTAGGATGATCACATCCACGGACGTGTCCAGCGGTAGCCCCTCGTTGACAAGGATCCGCCCTCCGCTTGTGTCCATGTTGCGCAACTTCGAGATCTTCTGGCACCATAAATGCGGAATGCTGGGGAGAGAGCCCCGTTTTGAAAACGAGCCACGCTCGATCCGTGTTTCACAACGTGGCATTTCGAGCCATAGATTTTGACGAAGTTTCTAACGAGAGACGCATTTTGAAAACGAGCTGGCCTCCATCCCAATAGTCGTTGGAAACTTTGCAACGCGAGTGTGCGCGGCGCTAATGCGAGAGCCGAAACATGGAAACGGCTGGCCCTCCATCCTGGTAGCCATCTTTGTAGGTTCAGGGCCGAAACCTGCGAGGAGGCCTCGAGCGAAACGCCCAGCCTGGCCTACGGACGCGTCCGGACACGTCTGGTGGTGCGGCAGTGGAGTTGCTTGTGTGGAGGAGGAGGAGGCGCGGGTGGAGGAGAGTGAGCGCAGAAATCGTGCCCGAGTTGTTTCCTCGCTTTCGGTCTCCACGGGTCCGTTTCGGGCGTGAGGCCTGTTAGAAATCGGCCTGAGATCCAAAGCTGGTCAGGATGGACGCCGGCAGCAGTGTGGGCAACGATTTTGAGCGGATATTGGTCTTGGCGGGGAGGAGCAGGAGGAGGATTGATGTTGATGTTGATGCTGATGCTGATGCTGATGCTGATGCTGATGCTGATGCTGATGATGATGATGATGATGATGATGATGATGATGATGATGATGATGATGATGATGATGATGATGATGATGATGAAGATAATGATGATGATGGTGATGATGATGGTGATGAGTAGGATGAGGAGCAGGAGGAGGATGAGAAGGATGTTTGATTTGCCATCACCAGGCCGAACATCAACTTCCACCGAGTGGGACGAAGGCTTGTAAATAAACAGTCTCTTGACTGCCACTGCGCATCAGAACGAAAGTATGTCAACGACAAGAGAGATGCTGCACCCTTCCTTGCGGTCCTCACTCGGGCTGAAACTCTGCGGCCTGCCCTTGCAGGCTAATGGCGCCCGCGCGAGAGGTAACGAGTAAGCATGTGAATGTCACACACACATGCTGCTGAGCATCTGCTTTTGAGCACTTGCAGATGTGATGTGCAGCTCTCAGATACAGTGTACACGACAACGTCGAGATGCTGCACTCGGTGCGACACGCCTTGCTTGTATGCCCCCCTCCCGGGGAGAAGCGATATCTACAACCAGAGCCATACGCGTGTCCCTTGCTGTGCACCTCAACGAAGTGTTGGGGCGATTCATGATGATTTGTACTCGAGCTTTGATCTGCCACATACATGAAACGAATGAGCAAAGCACCTCCAAGGAAGGACGGTCTCTGGCATAATCACGGCGGTCAAGAGATGCTTGCTGATGGGGGCAGCGGCTGAGGGTCTTGCCCGGGTTCGGGCCCGCCAGCTACCAGGCCACCACCCCAAAACGCGTGAAAATTAAATGCGTGAGCTGCGGTGTCCATTTCTCGCGGCCAAGAGCGAGCGAGCAAGCCGCTCTCCCAGGGAGGACGCATCTAAGAAATACTGCGGTGGACGTACAGTTCCTTGAATTGTTCAGATGCGCGTCGCGCGGGGCAGGGGGGCTCTGCGCGCGTCTGGTGACGCGCGCTTGTGAGTTCGGCACTGCGGCCATGGTGATATTCGAGGCCAGCGGCGGCCGTCTCCATCGCGTCCATGGCGACGGCGTCGGCGAGTCTCGATGCGATGACGACGATCCCGATCGTGACAGCGATGGCGATCACGTAAGGGAGGATCATTGCCATGACGATTGCTGCCATGACGATTATCATAATAAACATGATGATGGTCATTCTGATGATCACTCCTCCATCCCCCCTTGGGCTCCTAGCGTAGACGCGCCGTCGGGGCGGGGCGGGACTTGGGCGCGCCCTGGGAGCTAATTAATGCGAGTCCTCCTAATCAGGATTTCCCAAATCCCGTCAGTAACACATGGGTCGGGGCCAAGTCCCGCCCGCATGGCAAGTCCCGCCCCCCGAGCTTTCAAGTCCCGGAACATCCCCGGGCGACATCGCGCAATTCAAGGAAATTTTACTTCCCCTGATGCGCGCTTCATCCCCGCGGTATCCGCGAACAATCGCCATCGCCATCTTCGCCGAGCTCATCATCAGCATCATCATGGCCGTCTTCATCAGTGCGATTCAATCGGTACAGTCAACCATGATAGTAAGGATGGGGCAATTTGGCCAGGGTACCCTTGTGCCCTTGCCCCTTTGGCGCATCCTAGCCAAGTTTCGCTGGCCACCCCTTCAGGGTACCCTTGCATCCTTAGGTTGCGCGGCGCGACGCCCCTTGGGGCCAATCCTGACTGATGCTGGATGGGCAGGGTACCCTTGTCCATCCTCGGGTCCGGTGTCGCCGTCCTTACATTCACGGGGCCGCGGCCCCAAGGATGTGCGACGCGCAGGGTACTTGTGCTCATCCTTGGGCACATCTTTCTTGCCCTCCATTCATGGGTGGGAACGGCCCTGGGGATGATGGATGGGCAGGGTACCCTTAGCCATCCTCGGGTCCGGTGTTGCCCTCCTTACACTCAAGGGGCCGCGGCCCCAAGGATGCGTGACGCGCAGGGTACTTGTGCTCATCCTTGGGCACGTCTTCTTTGCCCTCCCAGTCATGGGTGGGAGCGGCCCTGAGGATGTTGGATGGGCAGGGTACCCTTGGCCATCCTCGGGTCCGGTGTTACCGTCCTTACATTCAAGGGGCCGCGGCCCCAAGGATGCGCGACGCGCAGGGTGCCTGTGCTCATCCTTGGGCACGTCTTCCTTGCCCTCCAGTTATGGGTGTTACCGGCCCTGAGGATGCTGGATGGGCAGGGTATTCTTGGCCATCTTTGGGCCCAACTTCGCCGTCCTTATATACAAGGGGCCGCGGCCCCAAGGATGCGTGACGCGCAGGGTACGTGTGTTCATCCTTGGGCACGTTTTTTTTGCCCTCCCACTCATAGGTGGGAACGGCCCTAAGGATACTGGGTGGGCAGGGTACCGTTGGCCATCCTCTCCCCCATTGTCTCGGTGATCTCCATCGCGGGGGGAGTGGGCCTCAGGATGTGCGATGGGCAAGGCGCCTTCGCCCA